TTGAGTTGTATCCATTTTCATGTGTTTTTTTATGCACAACTGTTAAAGAAAGAAATGATACTCTAGGGAATGACACGTGGTCTGTAATGGATAACATTATGCCCAGGGCAAAGAGGTATATCGAAAATTGTTGCTCATATGTTGCTTTTTATATTGATAAATAAATGAACGAAAACGTAATGGGCAATGGGAAAAAAATTATAAAAGAAAAATTAATGAACGAACAAACAATAAATGTAAGTTTGAAAATAGGAAAAATAGAAAAGAGAAGGGAATGAATTAAAGAGAAAAGGTGTGGGAGAGGCAAATTATTAATTGATGGATTAGTAAGACAAAAAACAGAAACGAAAAGAATGCGGGAAAGAAAGAGAAAAAGAGAAAATTGAAAAATTGTCTTTGCAAATCTCATTATTTTTACATTGCTTGAGTGCTCTAAATGTATATTGTGGATTTGTTTTTAACAGACGGTAGTTTTGACACGAAATTGAATGAAATAAAATACATTACAGCAAATCCTATTCAAATGTCAAAGAAACAAAAACCTTACTTAATGACCACAAAGCTTACATTTCAAATAAAGTGGATTGACACAACTTAAGAATTAAGATTTGGTCAGACAGCAATGGCTTGGTCCTTCTTCTGAAGCTGATGTCCCTACTGACATTCATTGAAAGAAGACTAAATTTTTACTGTGGAGCTTAAGGAGTATTCTCTTTAAGTGGAAACCCTTGTCTCTCGAAATTTAACACTTAAATGGTTTCTCGATGAACCAATCAGAATCAACGCAACGCAGATTTCAATTAATGACAGCCCATCACGTCTATCAATCATTTCATATATGTCAGTTCTATTTTGTTACGGTGCTAAGTATGGAAGAAAAAACATCGTAAAACTAATCAAATAAATCTGGACGGAAATAGCGGTTTTAAATGACAAACATCTTTACCTTTTCAATTGATTTGCTTTCATCTTCTTGGGCCTATCAAATTTAATCCTTTTTTTTCTTCAAAAGCATAAGATTTGCTTGTCAAAAAACGTGCGTATTGTCTGACTTGAACAGAGTAAGTAAGGTGAGCGTGGCATGTCTTAGTTGGTAAAATCGATGTTGGTTGAGATCGTTCTCGACTCACGGATTTTTATTTATGACAAATTTCACCATTTTCTCTCGATGGCTGCATAGTTATAACTTTGTCTCCTCAAGCAAAGAAATCCTGCTTTGCTAATTCTTTGACACATGGACTACAGCAAAAAGAAACGCTTCATTTAAATTGTCATGTGAGGTAAGCGCAAATCAATATTTCAAACACATTTATAACTGACATGTTTAAGTCTTCCTTTACAAACAGCATGAAATTGTACAATTTCAAAAACTATTCTTTCAAGGCGTTCTTTTAAGTTTAAAGCTATAAATTTTAGATGAGCTATCAGCTGTGGAATTTCACATCCTTTTGAATGGAATTGAATAGCCAAAACAAGCCACTTGTATACGAACTGCATTGTCAAAATCTTAATGACCATCACTTTTTCAATGTTCACATTTTTGATGACTAAAGTAAGCAAAACGTAAAGAAAATTAAGGCAAAAATCCTAAAATTAATTCCATCTACATTTTCGGGCCAGACGTTTTGACAAAATCCCAGTTTTATTATCATAGATTTAGGAGTATTGCTTGTCGGGGATACTTTATTTTATCATTGTACTCTCACAGTATGAAATTCTACTTTTTTGCAAGAACATAGTAAGTTAGCATAAGTAAGTAAGTATCCCAAGTTTTCATTTCATCGGGCACTCAAAGACGCACTCTATTAGAACAGTTTTACTGCCATCATAATGGCTTCTTTTCTCGTTTGGCAGCGGAAAAAAATCAAAATCTTTATGTAAATAGAAAACGAAGCTAGAAGGATAGAAAACTACTATTTCTACAGAAACAAATTTTGCATGATTTTGGTATATCATTTTAAAAAATAAAGAAAGGAAACTGTGAAGGAAAGGAAAAAGCACTGGCGTTCACGATTTTGGAGTGTTCATTGTTGGATTCCTGGTCTTGGTCAGTATCACATGTTAGTAAAGTTTGTTACATCTCTATAGAGGGTTTCTCTCCTTCCGCATTTTCTTTTAGGGTTCAATCTTTGAGTTAGCAGTGCCCTGACTTAGATCAGCCCAGAGGTTGTTTCAGGGTTCCATCTGTGAGTTAGCCATATCCTGACTTAGATCAGCCCAGAGTTTGTTTCAGGATTTGATCTGTGAGTTAGCCGTGCCCCGTATTAGATCAGCCCAGAGGTTGTTTCAGGGTTCAATCTGTGAGTTAGCCATACCCTGACTTAGATCAGCCCAGAGAATCGTTCAGGGTTCCATAAAAATTGATGTCTGGTTGTTGTTGGCGTGGAAAAGAAAAGAGAACGAGACGAAAAGAATAAGAACATAAAACAATAGATCGGAAATATTATTTTGCCTCATTTTAAGGACAAAATAAATAAAGAACGTTATCCAATGAAGTGATATCTATAAACCCTGTTTTATATTCCAAAATAATTTACTACATCATTTACTTCTATGCTATTGTTATTCCTATTCGAATGCGGGACAATTTTATTGAAGTCGAAAATATTTACTTCTTGTTCGGTATCATTCAAGTTATTTTTTCCGCCTCTACTTCCTCAGTGACCCAGGGCCTAATCAAAAACAGGCATTTTTGTTAGCTTTATGAGAATTCCCCCTCATTATTTATTTACCATCACGTAAATAGTCTTTTCTCAATAACAGGAAGCTTTTGGATTGAACAAATACAGCTAGATTTTCTTAAGCATAATTTGGTTTTTGATTTGCGGAGTTTGTGTGCTGCTTATTATAATGTCTATGGCTACATGCAATTGATAAACATGGCTATTGTTCGTTGAAATTTCCCAGCAAAATTCCAATATTTCACAAAAATTTCCGAGATGCGCGCGTAATCACTAACTAGCTTCCGACGTGATATTTCCAACATATTTCCACACCATGGAATTGTCCAAAAGGTTGGATGAATGGCTTCCAACTATTCTGTCAACATATCGATTTAAGATGATGGCAACTATTTATTCCCATCATCTTAAATCGATAGATTGTATCAAGTAAGAAACCATCCCTCTCTCGCATCTTATCTTCCAACTCGTTCTCTCTACCCTAGAAAAATCAAGCTTGCTCGAAAAATTTTGGAAGTAGCGACGTACCTCCAACATATCCCCATACCACAGATGTTCATAAACTGCCATGGAAATATTGATGAAAGATCTTGAACATGGAAATATGTAATTGGAAGTCGCCTTCAACATATTTTTATGATGATGTTTCCAACATAAGATATTTCCATAAGAATTGCAACATCTTTCCACGATATTTCTATTATCGTAAGGAAGTGTCAAAAAGGGTGGACGTTTGTTAGTAGAGTTGCTTGTTGGTTCTCTTCTGTGCTTCGAGGGTTTTCGTCAGGGTTTCCCGGTTTTTCGTCCCTCCACGAAAACCAACTTCTAATTTCCTATATGGAACTGCTTCAATGGAGGAAGAGCTACTCTGTAGACCAGGGGTAACCATTTTTTTATTTGGTAAGTTTGACTTTCATGATCTTAACTCCATAAATGTTCTAGTGCTAGCCCGCCATTCCTTTCTTTCAGTCCGATAAACATTGTCGTTTTTCCTCATTCTATTCCCTCTTATCTCTTTATGAAAGATAAACCAGAACTCTTCTTTGGATTACACTATAGATCAACTATAATCCGTAGTAACCTAAATAATCTAAGTTTTATCGAACCCTGAAACCACCTCTGTGCTGTTCTAAAGTCAATGACACTGCTCAGATATTCAAGGTTGAAATAAAGACTTTAACATGCATTTAAGGTTCTTAGCTTTACAATTTCACAAAGCCTTAAAAAAAACCGGATCGAAACTTGAAACGACCTCTGGGCTGATCTATTAAAGTCATGATACTGCTAAGCCATTCAAGGTTAGAATAAAGACTTGCATTTAAGGTACTAAGTATTCAACAATCTATAGAGTTACAATTAGCATATTTCACAAATCCTTCAAAAACAAACCGCAGCTAACCTTGAAACAACCTCTGGGCTGATCTAGGTCTTGACATTGTCAAGCCCTGAAACAACCTCTGGGCTGATCTAAGAATTAACACTGCTCAGTCCTGAAACAACCTCTGGGCTGATCTAATTCTTAACACTGCTAAGCCCTGAAACAACCTCTGGGCTGATCTAAGTCTTGACACTGCTAAGCCCTGAAACAACCTCTGGGCTGATCTAAGTCTTAACACTGCTAAGCCCTGAAACAACCTCTGGGCTGATCTAAGTCTTAACACTGCTAAGCCCTGAAACAACCTCTGGGCTGATCTAAGTCTTGACACTGCCAAGCCCTGAAACAACCTCAGGGCTGATCTAAGTCTTGACACTGCCAAGCCCTGAAACAACCTC